GAGATAATATCACTTTCTACAATGCATAATTAGAAATTTCTCTCAGCTTTTTAAATTGCATATTAGAAAACATCCAGTATTATTCTATACTCATAAATCACTTGGTAAGGGGTGCAACCAAGCACCAGCAGTCCACCACAAAGCCCAGTGGAGGAAAACTCCAGGCACGCTCTTAGGGTTTGGGAAGGCGGGGAAGATTAAGTTAAGGTGGTCAGGCCAGCAGCAATACTAGCCTTCAGAGCCAAAAAAGTCTAAACTTCACTATACATTATAGAAAACAATTGGGAGGGTGGGAGAGTATGATCCTTTATTTTTTAATTAGCATTTTCTTATGAAGAGCGTCAAACCCTACTTTACTGCATTACTTTTAAGCCACCTGACACCATAATTTCCTTTTCCTTTGGCTCCTCCAGTTTTCACTTTCCTATTAAACTGAACTATAAATGGAAATTATCTAACTGCTTTCCTTTGTATGGAATTTCCAATAAATGGCTGTCTAAAACTGAAACTTTCTGTAGCAATCACACCTTGAGTTCCCCCTGTATGGCACAACAGCAATTAAAGCATACCTTTCCAAAAATGCTGTACATCCTTCCCCCACCCCTTAGCAGCTTACATAAATCAGAGATTTTAGCTGTAGCAGTTTATTACAAGTGATGCAATTAAGTCAACTTCCATTCTTAAGAACAGAGATTCTTTACAATGGTTTTTGTGCAGGATGAATTTCCTTGTACATTAGAGTTGCATTTTTCAGACTCTGACAGAACTGTCAATCACAAGAAAAAAAAACCACAATGAAATGATTTACTGCTAAACACAAACTGAGGTGTAACAAAACAAACCCATGCGCGCACGAAGCGGCCATAAACCCATTGCCAACTACATTATTACATCACTTACAGTTTGTGTCATTTTTAGAAAGAACTTTTTATTGAGACCAAGTGTACACTGACAGAAGTAGAATTTCCACACAGAAACTCAGAAAAAAAAAAAAAAATCATATAACCACTACACAAAATTGTCCTATCAGCAGAACCATGTACCAGGGGGATTTACATCAGATAATTACATTCACATCAGTACACTGTATTACTTTAAGAATACTACCACCAAAGTGGCATATTTTTGGCAGGTGCACCCTGAGATGCCTAACCAGAGAAAGCAGAAAAAAAAACCCCACATCTATGTTTTTGCTTACTCATATATAAATCTATGAAAAAGTAAAAAGCAATACTCAGTTTCAAGAAACAGTAAAAGAGGCATGCCCAGGGCAGACCAAGGAAATACAGAAATACAAGCAATGTTGTGACCATGAACAGCTGTGGTCCACACTCCACTGCTATTACCCTGACATACGATTCTGAGTGACCATTCTGCAGATGCACAAAATGCACTGTAAAATTAAAACAAGTACCCAGAATCCACAAAACTTCTTCAGAGCAAGGAGAAACACTTCTGTTTAGACTACATTAATGACAGCAAGAAATCAATCACAAAAAAGTTTTATTAATAAAGGTCAAGAGACTTTTAATCTGACAGACAAAATTGCATATGATACATGTATTTCTTCTGATTGTTTCACACTGGGGATTTGGAAACACTGCATCAGATTGTTTCCTCTACTCATACCCTCTCACACCTTTTCCATGCTCATAGCTTTGGGGGAGAGACTTCTGGGGACAAATCTTACTGGGGATAACCTATTAAAAATGAGTGGCTAGGGTAAAGCCAGTTGTTTAATTTATGAACAGATGTTCAAAATGCTAAAATACTGGTGCCTGCCACTTGCTATTTCAGTTAAAGAAAAAAAAAATACCTGACGTTTCCAGGGATTAATGTATTTTTTAAATTCACTGATGATTTAAGATCCATGTAGGTGCTCACTGATCGGTTATCATGGAAAAACTTTTAATACTTCTATTTACAATGAATTTTTCTCTCAGGCTATCACAGAAAAGCCCCTTTTGAAGTCCTAATTTTACTTGAGAATGAAAAATATGCCCCGATGAATTCCTTTTTAGTATTTCCTGCTGAAACACAACAGTTGTTGCAAAGTCTGATGAAAAAATGTTTAAGCCCCAAAAAGAGAAACAAAACTGTACAAAGCAGTTATTTCCCATTAAAATGGCACAGCCGGCTTGAAATGTTCATTCTTCTGTGGTAATTCTGTGTTACTTAGCATCCAAAATTACTGATTGAAACCTGTGAAAAATACTGTTATCCTTTTCCATCTAGCTTATGCTTCCCCTTGCTGTTTCTTCACTTCTTCAGGAACTGCTAAATAGTTCCTTCTACTGAAGGAACAAAAAAGCACAGTTTAATCAGAGAAGAAAACCAAGTAACTACCAAAACACTTATTTTAATCTGTAACATACTATTGCAGAGACGCTGTTTAAGAAATCTGTAAAGAAAAATATAACCTGCGTCTTTAAATAAAAGAATTTTTAAACCAGTTTCCTCATAACTTATCAGACCTTTTTCAAATAGCAAAGGTATGCAGCCTCTGCTTTAACACTTCTGTGGAGCTCCCAAGAGTATTAGTAATTTAACACTTGCTGACGACTTTCCCCATCAGATCTAATGATAATTATGTATTCCTCCTGCTAGGAGGACCAATAATTTAAAATCGCGCACTCTCAGGTTCACTACTTCTCAATGACTGAGGTAAGATGGGTAAATATCTTCCTCTCTTCACCCTGCATGAAGTCCATTGACATGAACAACCAACTTTTGCTGGGCCTGATTTATGTTAGGACCTAAGAAGGCAGGGAAAGTTAGTAGTTAGGTCTGGCAATTTACCTGGAATTCTTTCACAGAATCAAGTGAGAACTACATGGAAGCAACACTTGCTGAGCTTTACTTACAGAGCTGGATGAACAACTATTAGTATAACTGACCACAGTTTTTTACAAAGCCCCACCATACTCCAATTTGAGAGACAGCTTGCCATATTTCATAATACAAGTCACGGTTATGTGACTTATATAATCTACAGTAATACTGTTCAATAGCAAGCATTTTTTCTTTTCTGTGACGGGTAAATATTGCATTATTTCACTCATAAACTGTCAATTATTTCTGCCAGCTACACAGCTCCTGTATTCCCATTACCTTACCCAATACAGTTAAATCTCAAAAGTAGTAGCAGTAACTTTCCCTGCTGATGATTCCAAAATTATGAGGAACATGCAAAATGGTACTCACTACTTTCACTTTCATTTAAACACAACTCACCTTAATTCTTCTAAAAAGAGCCTAAACAAATGAATAAGCAAAGAAGTTTGGCAAAAGGCTCAACAATTAATATCCTGCTTTAAAAATTTCCAGCTTTGGTTACAAACATGTGGACCACCGTCATAAGTTTACTCATATAACCAAGTCCAGCCAAGGGTATTAGAAATAGTTAAAAGTCAAAAAAGAATGGCCTTGTAGGGTGCCACCACATAAACTAAACAAAAGATATACTGCCAAACACTCAAGCAGACACATGTACCATTATTCAGCAAGGACCACATGAATTCATATGGCTCTCTGTTTTGTCTTCATAGTAACAAGAAGGTTTGTAAACAAAACAGATCACACATATGAGGCAATCTAGTCACTTGAGAATCTAAAAATCTGCCTTTGTAAAGAAGCATTCTGCACTGTTGCCGCACAATTGGACTTAGATACACAATTAAAAGTCCTCTGTGCTTTTTTGGAACAAGTGCTGCTCAATTTTATTGCTATCCGTAGTAGTGATGTTTCATCATGCCATGTCAGGATGTATGTAACTCCTATGCCCAACAGCCACTGGAAAATAATGCCAACACAATAGCCTATAAAGCAGAAAAAAATTGGATTGTTCTATCAACAGAAATAATGACACCCTTACCATACCACTACTGCCTGCACAGCTGAAAGCCAGAATAACCTTAAATGCATTTACAGATGACAGTAGCGATTTCATTAAAATCACCCAGAAAAAACCCGCACAGCTTCAGCTGCAACACTGACATTTTACTATTTTTTTTAATGAGGCAAAGCAAAAAAGTAATGAAGAAAGTTTCAGATAATCCATACCTGAAGTTTCAGAAGTATCTCCTGATGGGAAGCCTAAGGAAAGATTTAACACTTAACTGTAAATAAAAATAACCCAGAGGTTATTTTGCATTTATCTAAGTATGTCCACATGCTGCAAACCTAACAGGCAGAGATCCTCCTATCTTTAAAAACAGATGCACTTCTTTAGCACGTCTGTATATCATTTTCACTATCAAAATACTGAGGATTCCGCACCACGTCCTCATAACCTGAGGATCAAACTCCTCTCGTGGTCTGTGGTAATTCACAACAACAGGATTTAAAAACTGGGCCCACTGAATTTGTACCGTTACACCAGTATTTCTTTTAATTTGGTAATTACCGCAATTACCCGGTGTCCCCAGAACTCCTATCGATGACCGGAGCCCCCTTGTGCTGGGAGCTGCACAGACACAGAACAGAAGGCATCGGCTGTACGCACAGCTCCATGGCACAGTAACACAAACCCATCCATTAATGGGTTGCTTTTGCCACCCTGACCACCTCATCTACTTCTTCGGTAGTAATTGACAGTACAGATTAATTAGAAGAACAAAAAAAAGGAACAAAAAAAAACCAAAGTAACACCCTTGACTAAGTAGGCATAAAATGGTTTCTATAGTATTTCATAATATACAAAACCAGGCAGGTTTTACACTGATGTTGACTTCATCTTAAAATGAGAGAAGGGAAATTGTTTGGCTGAGTATTTATGCTGAAACTCATTAGTACTTCTATTAGCTTAATTTAAAAGGGCATTTATTAATTCGTGTCATTAAAAAACCTTTTAATATTTGATGAAAAGTTTAATTTCTGCAATTACCATATAAAGGTGAAGGGAAAAAAACAGAAAAACCCAAACCTGAAAATAAACAACATTTGACCACCACTGCCAACTAATAAGAAAAAGAGATAACCTTTTTTTCTGGGAAATTAAGCTCGAAGGACTTTTATCGTTGTCCCGGGGCGAGCCCCGGCCGCCTGCCCACAGAGACAAGCCGTGCTAGCCGGCGGCCGGACGAGACTCCGGGCCAGCCGTACTGAGGCGGCGGGGCCTCCCGCTGCCTGCCCCTCCCCTCGCGGGTCGGGGCTCCCGGGGCAGCACCTGGCGCGCAGACATGCCCTCCCTTACACAGCGGGTAATGCCGTACCGCCCGGCAGGGAGGGAGGGAGGCCGGCGCGAACTGCGGGGCATCACCCGGGGCTTTCCTTTCCTTTCATTTCATTTCCCCTCCCCTCGCCTAGCCGCTTGCCCCCAGCGGCGGGGACAACGCGACGCAGCCCCGTCCCTGCGCGCCTCCCGCCGCGGTGCCGGCGTGAGGTATCCTATGCGACAGGCGCGGACGTGCCGCTTACATAATCACCGCCGGCCGCACACGTACCCCGCGTTACATAAGGGACCGTGCGCCCGGCAGCCCCCGCGCCGCCGGCCCCCACCCGCCGCTGCCCCCGCGACAGCCCCGCCGGCGGGCGGGCCGGGGGAAGGAGGTAGGGAAGCAGGGGGGGGGCCCCGGCCCCGGCGGCTGCCCCGGCCGAGCCCCTCGTTAACCCCCTTCCTGTGGCGTTTATACGTCATGGAACATTCCCGGAACGGGCCAACGTCCCACCCACTTCAGGGAACAGTCACCGCGGCGCAGCGCGCACACACACACACTCACGCGCACCCCGGCGCGGCGGTGGGGCTCCCAGCACAGACGCACACCCCCTGTGCCCGCCGGCCTCTCGCCGCACCTCCCGGCGACGTGATGGCAGCCGGAGCCACCCCACCGCGTACCCCGCTGCCCCCGGCGCGCTGCCTGCCGCCGCGCCGGGTGGCCCCGGGCTCCCCCCTGCAGGGCACCCCCTCAGCATCCCCGGAGGGCGCCGGAGGCCGCGGAGAGAGCCCCGCCGGGCTGGCCCCCCAAGCGGGCGCTTGTCCCCGGTGGTGACCAAGCCTGTTCCCCGCCACAGGAGGGGATTACGCAAGGCAGCCTGCTCCTCATCTGCATACGCTCACAAGCTGGGTATTCCCCGCATTTCCTAACGGCGTGACACCGACAAAGGCCGGACCTCGGCCCCCTCCCGCGCCAGCTCAGCGGGGCGCCGGGCCGGGAGAAGGGCCGCCGGCCGTGGTGCCCCGGGGCCGGTGCCGGTGGCTGCCAGCGCCCCAAGCCGCCGCCACAGAGGTGACTTACCGGTCCGGCGGTTTTACAGCCCCGCCGGCTTCCTCTGCCGGCGCCCTCCCCCGCGCCTCCCGCCGCCTGCCCTCCATTTACCCCCTCAGCCCCGCGGCCGGGGGAGCCCGGCGGCAGCTGCTCCCGGTCGCTGCTCGAGTGGCACTCGGAGCGCCGGCGTCGGACCCCCCCGGCTTGGCAACCGCCCTCTCTGCCGCGGCCCGAACGCCGACCCCGCGGCTCCCCGCACCCAGGCCCGCCGTCGGCGTGCACCCGCAGGCGGCTCGGCGCGGCTGTCAGCTGGTGCCAGTGACAGGGGACGAGCGGCAGGCGGGGAGGAGCGGGTTGCCCGCAGTAGCCGCTGCTGCTCACCTGGAGAGTCACCGCGGGGAAGGAGGGAAGCCCTCCCGGTGCCCTTGCTGCCGCTGCAGATCCCGCCGGGCGCTCCCGTCGCTCCTTTGCTAAGGGCTTGCCTGGAGGAGTGAGGTGGCTCGCGGTGCTTCTTTATATGTAAGGACAGACAGTGATATTCCAGCGGCCGAGGGACGTCCGCTTCACGCATTTGTCTGCAGGCAGGTCATTCCGCTCCCTCTCTTTGGGCAGGATCACCACCATCGCCCTGGCAGCGGCGGAGGGCTGGTGTTGCACTCGGGGGAGAGGCGGCGGCCCGGGAGCCGCAGCCCGCCCTGCCCGGGGCGGGGGGAGCGCTGGCGCTGCGGGCAGATCTTGCCGGGCTATTCCTGGCACCACTTCCCAGAACACAACTTACGGGGAGGCGAGCGCGCAGCGAGCGCGGGGAGCGCGCCGCCCGTGACGTCACCGGGTCCCCCCGCGCGCCGGCGGGGGAGCGAGCCAGCGAGCGGGGCGCGACCGGCAGCGCCCGCCCGCGTGTGTGTGCGTGTGTGCGCGTGTGTGTGCGTGTGTGTGTGTGTGTGTGCGTGTGTGCGTGTGTGTGTGTGTGTGTGAGGCGGCGAGGGGCGAGGTGAGCCGTGCAGCCGGGGAGGGGAGGAAGGAGGCAGGGCTTCGGAGGGCGAAGCCGCGGCCTCTCCCCGCCGGCGGAGATCGCCGCTCCCCCTCCCCCTCCCCGCCGAGGGAACTCCCAGGAGAGCCGGTCCCGACTTGCCGCGCGTCCTCCCGGCCGGAGAATTTCCTCCCCCCTCCTGCGAGGAGGAGGAGGACGCGGGATCCTCCTGCCCGCTCCCCTCCCTTGCGCTTCCTCGTTCCTCCGCGCCCCGCTCCCGCCTGCCCGGGATCGCGCTATCTGTCAGGGAGAACAATACCGCATCGGGAGTCCCGGTGCTGGCTTCACGACCCGCCTGCCGCCGGCGCCCCCGAAACTGGGCAAAATTCTGCCCGCTGCGCAGGCGGGCACCCGACCCTCCCTCACCCCTTAGGACACGGCCCATGCAACTGGTCCGCAGAGGGCAGAGAGCCGTGCCCGCCCGCGCCGGACTCTGCCGCACACACACGCATTTATTTTAACAGCCTCTCAATGCCAGCGCGGCCCGTGACAGCGACACGACAGTGCCGGCGGGGATACGGACTGCTACCACCGCTGCCACCACCGCTGCCGCCACCGCGGCCGCCGCCGCGGCAGCCACCACTACCACCTCACGGCGGCTTCACGCCGGCCCGGGGCCCGCGGCCCCGCTTCCCCTCGCCGCCGCCGCTCACGGGGCCGCCTGCAGCCAATGAGCGCCCGTAACGTGAGGCGACGGGGCGGGGCCGGGGCCGGTGGCGGGGCCGGTCTCCCGCAGCAGCCACCACCCCCCGCAGGCCCCGGGGCGGGGCGGGGCAGGGCCGGGGCGCCGCAGGGGGAATACCCTCCTGGCGGGGCGGGGCGGGGCGTGCGCTTCCTGGGAGCGTCCCACAGCTCCCTCGCGGCTGGCAGCCCGGCAACCGGCTGACCGACCGCGGCTGAACCCGGAGTCGGGGCAAGTCCCGCGGCCCCGCACGCCCCGCTGGCAGCGGCTGCGAGTTGCGTAAAGCCGCGGGGAACAGCTGCTGTGTTTCCGCAGCGGGGAAGCCCGGGCAGCGCAGGGGTACGTGCCCGGGCTCCGGTCTCGCTGGGCACAGGGGAGTGCTGCGTTTGCGAAAGCGGGTCTGCCTTTAATTTCCAGAGCAGAATAGTCTTTTGAGAAAGCCACTCAATCGCACTCGAGGGCTACCGTGAGTTGATTCGATGTGATGCCAACTCTCACTGTGACATCGGAAGTCATACCAGCACCTGAGATTATTTGGTTCACATCGTGAAAATAAAATAGCCTCATGGATGAAAGGGAAAGAGTGTACGCATAAATCCTGAAAGCTGTAGTTCTTACAGCAGATGCCATGGCAAATAAAAGCAGTATTTCATAATTTTAGTGGCTGAGAACTCTTGCAGCTGTTAGGGACTAGTAACAATTCTGTGCTTGAGGTCCGTAATACAGGACATAGAATCTATGGATAAATAGCCTGTCGTCCTAGCGTGGCCCATGGCCCCTGCTGGCTTTGGTGGCCCCTGCCTCAGGCTCACAGGCTCCACTGCGCTCAGCCCAGGCAGTGCAGGAGTCTCAGGGATTCTTGGGACGTGCCTCAAGTGATGCAGGCACAAGCATCTGGCATGATTGCAATTTTAGGACAATGTAATTCCTGTCACATGAAAGGCTTGCTCCTGCTAGCTTGTTCAATACTAAGAGGACTGAACCACAGCTGACAGTTGGTTCCTCCTTGTTAAGTTTGTAAGCATGCCTGTCTTTGTTTTCCTGATTTTCAGCGCAAGTGATACTGTCATTGCTGACATTGAGTATTGTTTGACTGGAATTATTCTGTTTGAGTAAACATATTGACCTTAGGCTTGTGATCTTTATTTGATGTTATGTCAGAGTAAGTCAGTGGGAGACAGGAGTGCTTAGGATTTGTTTTGAACTGAGGATTTCCCATCCTGCCACATTCCACAGCAACTGTGTTTACCTCTGCCCCAAATGATGGCTGTCAGTACCTTCCCTCTGGGAAGCTGCAGGATTCTGCTCAGCACCTTTGACTCCTTGCTGCATGTTCTTCTTCTCTCCTGCCTTTCACAGGACTTAAGAAGTTCATTTTTATTGTCACAGAGACCAGCTGACAAAAGCTACTGCAAGAAGGTTCAATATTCTAAATAATTTTAAAGAAAATATTTACTGACATTTATTCTCAAAGCAAAGTAAAAAGTGTTTTTTCCATAATGCTTCTCAAAATAAGGGTTGGTTTGGGTTGGTTGGTTTTTTTTTTTCAATTATGTCGGTTATCTCGGAAAGTTTTACTTTGTGTCCTTTCCCACATTATCTTAGTATTGCAGCATCTGAGCCACAGCCATTTCCTGCACTGTGGCTCCACAAGGTACATACTAGAGTTACAGCTCTTGTGCACCTTCATATTCCCAGGGCAGAGACTGAAGCTACACACGTGCTCAGGGACCCTCACTGTTGTATGTAATTTGTTTGGCTAAAACCCCAGGGCAGGCTTTGGCACAGACACAACTTGAAGCCACAAGTGTCCTTAGCTTGGAGTAGCCCCCCCCAGCCAAAGAGGCCAGGAGGTCTTTGCGTGGTTCCTTCAGTCTCGTCCTGCTTTGTGCACTGCTGTGGAGAATGGGTGTAACTGAGTGCAGACTTATCTTCATCCCCAGCCAATCCTCCTTTCCTTCCCATGGGGAGCATGAGGTGGGAGGACTGTCCTGCAGAGGGGATGCAGCTGGGATTTTTTTAAGGTCCCTTCCAACCTAAACCATTCTGTGACTCATTTACATCCAGAGTTTAATAAATTTATCACTCTAACTAAACTAAGATTTAAATCTCAGATGCAATATTTACAGCTGTTATTTAAGTACAGATTTTGCAGATTCATTGGAAAAGAAGTCATTCTTGCTGCTTGGAAAGCACCTTAGCCATCACAGCTGCCACTAGTAGCAAGCACAGCGCAGAATGATAATATTCAATTATGTTCACAGTTTATTAAACACTATAAATTATTCTGAAAACTTGATCTTAGAACATACAGAATCCATTGGTTTTGTAAGCTGTGCCGCTCCCCAAAGTAGATAACAGAAAGCATTACATAGTTTTTCTATAATAGTACAGTTGAGTTGAAATGTTAAATAACTATTCATAAAAGAGTTAAACATAAAAATAGTCAAATAACTATTCATAAAAAAAAAATTTAAAGAATTCACCTTTTCTTTCTTGTGAAGATTTACTTCGTCCCTAAACCTGTACCCATCAGCTCTTTACTATTTCTTCACAAAGTTGTTGCAGATAGAGCTGCACCAAAAGAAAAAGTTCTTTCGTATAAAGGGATTGATACGATCTTTTACTTTCAGTGTGAGTAGTGTAAGGCAAAATAGACTAAATGTATCCAATTTTCTCAAAGTATCAGAGCAGAGGGCAGCAGTGCAGATCAAAATCAGCAGTGTTATTTTGCTGTTTAGTATCCTCTTCCTTAAGGTTTAGTTAAGTAAGAAAATCTACAGCAAACAATCTGAGAATGGCTTTCCTCATAAATAAACAAATATTAATAGTTTCCTATCAATGTTGTTTAAAACACATTGTGCTAATTTGTGTAGGAGCTTCCTTCCACTTTCCTTCACTTCTTTTTCCAGCTGCCTGGACCGTAAATGTCTCTTGCTGCCCTTGCACCTTCTGTCCCCACCACTGCTTTTTCTAACTCCCCAGTTACACTCAGTGCTCCTTGCACTTACTAGTAAAGCTGCAAGACACTCAAAGGTGGTTTCCAGTGCTGAAGGAAGGGTATACTTCCTCCTCTGTCCTCCTCCCCTTTGGAGGACCTGTTCTTTCTCTCCACATGAGTGAGAGAAGGGCCTTTAGCTGGATTCTGTGGCAACAAACAGCCAGCAAGGGTAAGGGTCCCTGACACCAGCCCCTTCTCAAGGACTCCCAGAGAGCCTGAGGGGCACCCCCAGCAGCTCTGGGGCTGGGAAGAAGGGTGAGGAGGGAGACCAAGCTAGATCAGAAAACTTGGTGAAAGCCCCAGAATGGCTGCATTTGTCTTCCGCTTTGCTTTGGATGCCAAACACAGTACAAAATTAGTTTGTAGAGCAGTATTAATTTGGGTAACTGAGGGGATTTTTATTTTGAGAGATACCTTCTACTGACAATCCCAAGCTCGTCTTCTCAAAGATAACTAGCAGCTATGAGTTTCCCATATAATTTATCATTTAATACCATAAAATGCATTTGCAGCCACAGCATCCCACTTTCCCATTTGTACACATTGCCTTCATTCTGCTCAAGTGCTGTCTTACCTTATGAGAAAAAAGACATTGCCGGTTCAGCCTCCCAACACCTCTCCCTATGCGTTCCTTGTATCCAGGCTGCTGTATCTTGTTTGTCTACTCTTCTACGTAAACAAAGGCAGTCTTTCCTCATAGGGGAGTGTGCTCATGAGTCCCTCACAGAACACAAAGAAGTCACAGTGAAGCACTTCTTTATCCACAACAGATTCAAGCTCATACAATATCAAGTGGTGCAAAGGAGCCTGAAGCCAAGGTGGTTAGCTTGAGCAAGCCTGTGTGTAAATAACTCTGGCAGAGGGCCCAAAGGAAGGGGAGTACTGTTTGCCTGGTAAGGAACAAATGGCTCTATTTCCTGAAGGAAAAATGTTTTTTCTGCTATATTGAGCTTTTCCGGGGGGGGAATTAAAAAAAGTGATTTTCTCCACATAAAGTATTTCCAGACACAGAACTAACCAGAACTAACATGCTGTGTGTATCAACAGCTTGATAATAACATGTCATCACTTGACCTTGGAAGGGGTAGAAAAATGGAAAAGGCAGAATTTTCTGAAATTATGCCCTTTCATGGGAACATTTTTGAAAGCCCATGAATTCTGGGAAAATATTTTTAAATAAAATTGTACTATTTTTACTCATTTCCAGTGTTTTTTTTCACAGCTAGTTAGCCACCTAAATAGGAAAATCTACAATGCTGACCAGAAGCTCAGCCAAGTGATCCTGTGCACTTCTCATGTGAGATTAATGAACCCTGTAAGTGCTATAGCCAGGTTCTCTTTGATCATTCTTTTTACTATCTCAACCCTATTAAGTTTTTGAAAGACCCTTACTTTGGGGCATTTTTTAAAACTGTTTTGCTTTGCTAACAAGTGTGCCATGTTATCAGACACTGGTTATTTCTCTTCAAATAAAAAGTAATAGCTCATCTGTATTTTTATATACCATACTTGGTTCTCTCCCCCACCTTGCCCCAATTTTTCTAGGAACAGCTGAAGTAAGAGCCTGCCAAAGACATGGCGTGATTTAGCAACTTCTGAGTTATATATAACCTGAACAATTAAGCAACTCAATTTTCTATAAGCTTACCTATTTATATTCTCGTTAGACCTGATAGCCTTTCATTTAGCATTCTTCTCAAACAGACAACTTTCAATTTTGCATCATCTTCTAATTCAAAGAAACTTCGAGTACTTCATGTCCAGAGAATTTCATGTATGGGCTGGGGAGAGATAGACGGGCAGACCACTCCTAGAAGTGAATAGTGAGTAGTGACCACTTGCAAACAGAGTAAAGGAGAATGTCCTGGCATCTCAAAATGGCACAGGACACTTTGGATAAGGAAAAAATGACATTAACTAAGTTACAGCTAGCTAGAATTTGAGCATGTTATCCTATCTCCTTCACCCTTTTGTCACATGTCATGGGAACCTTCCTAACCA